TTTTTGATGTGGCAACTGGCTATTAAGTGCTGTTTCCTCTTGCACCACTAAGGCAAATCCAGATTTGGAGCATTCCGTTCGGACTTCAGCTGTCCGTCAGCACCGATCCAATAAAACGAATCCATCTATTTTCTGTTTAGATATTTGCATACTTTGTATTAACGTATTCATGTATTACTTTTATATTGCAATGACAATGGGGGTGCAGTTAACCACCTCCTAAAAGGTGTGTCATAGTCTCAGAATGTATTTACCAAATCACACTAACACTGAAATAGCAATATAAAATTATCAAATGATTCGAAAGCTAAATAAATTCCAGAATGTCTTTGGTAAGGGCGCCATCTAGAGTCAGCATTTATTTATACAGTCTGTTGTTCTACCCCAAAAAATTTCACTTTGGTCCCCTTCTATATTGTAAAAAAAAGGGCTATGCTGTATATCCTTTAGTATCCCTATGTTGGATACTAAAGGAATGCCTATCATATTAGGCATTCATCTACTAAGAGCAAAATACTGAAAAGTACTTTATTTAATTTGTGTCTTTCAACTGTGTAACTCCCTTATTTGGCACCCTTATATATCCTTACACATTGATACGTTCCTAATTTAGTACTCTTAAATGTGGCAATCTCACATAAGGATATAAAATATACCAAATGAAAAAGTAGATGAAAAATAGAAAAATAATAATAAAAATAAAAAAAATAACAAAATTCAAACTATCAAAAAAATCTATATCTCTCTGAGGATATTTCAAACTATAGATGCCAATACATTGTTACATGTTCAGCCAATCTATAGTCTCATTTAAGTCTCTACTGCAGTCACTTACGTCACCCTAGATTCGAGGTGCATCATATAAAAGCTGCTGAATTAGCATCATGGAATGTCCTAAAATGTAACGACACTGATGTTCTGACTTTCTTATTCCCAACAGATGAAAGATGTTCCAAGAATCTCTTTTTCAGATATCTTGTTGTCTGGCCGACATACTGAAAACACAGGCAACAAATACACTATAAATGGAGTTGTACAGGTAAATTTGTGTAAGTCACATGCAGAGAGGTGTGACTAGGGCTGCATAAACAAAGTCATTTAAAGGGACACTATAGGCACCCAGACCACTTCAGCTCATTGGAATGTCCCAGGGCCCTTAAACCTGGAAAGGTAATTATTGTAGTTTTTGATAAACTGCAATAATTGATATGGAGTATTAACTACACCTCTCGTGGATGTGTACCAGACTTTTGGTCGCCTAACTGACGCTGGACATCCTAACGCTATGCATTAAGACTTCCATCATCACCCCAAATCCCCTAGGAAAACATTGTATAATGCTTCCCTATGGGGAAATCCTAATGCGCATTAGGTCCCTCTGACCTCCGTGGGGGTAAAGCTGAGGCAGAGCCTGAACCAGCGCCGTGGGACTGGAATCAGGTAAGTGAAAGAAGGGGCTTTTAACCCCTCCTGCACCACAGGGGAGGATGGAAGTGCGAAGGAGGAGGGCATTATAGGATGCTATATTGCCAGGAAAACACGTTTGTTTTTTCTGGCACTATAGTTTTCCTTTAACTCCTAAATGGCAGAGAATTGAGCAGTGAGACTGCAGGGGCATAATCTGTACACCAAAACTGCTTCATTAAGCTAAAGTTGTTTTGGTGCCTATAGTTTCCCTTTAACCAAACTTCTGGAATAAAAGGGAATCATGACATGTCACACATGTCATGTGTCCTTAAGGGGTTAAGAATAATAGGACTGCATGCACTGGTGCGTAGGACACCCTGGGTGTAAATTTACATGTCACGCTGTGCCAGAATAGCCACACATAAAATGTAAACATACGCATAAAATACATTCACTATTTGAAAAAATAAATCCAATCCATATATAGTTTTAGTTAGCCATCAGTTGCAAAAAATCCCTAGACAAGGCAGTGCCCCTTAGATATTTGACAAAAAAACATTTTTATAATTGTTTTGTTCAATCACTATTTGCAAAAACAAACAAAGAAACCAAAACTTTTAGAATAATATTTGCACTCCTGGGCACGTGATGGGAATTTTTAAAATTGAACAGTCATGGTGACAAATCCTATATACAGTAAAAGATAGGTGGGAATGAACTAAGAATTACAGTAAAGTGACTATTTTCTGTAATGGTATATTTCTTGGAATTTTTCTATAATGATTAGTATATTGAAAATAAAAATAAAATAAATTAGCTCTGAAACAGCCACCCCTTCCTCTTTATAATGTGCAAGAGAAACAAAGCATTTAAGGGAGTAAACATGTGCATTCGGTTTGTAACAAATCGTGATTTGTCTGAATTTTGGGCAATTGGTAATTCGTCCAAATTCTGTAATTCTGAATCGCCAAATAAAACAAAGAATGATTGAGCCATTCCGTTTATTTTTATATTGTGTATATATTTTGCAGGATATTAAAAGGCCCATTTTCGCACCATTTGATTCATCCGAATCGTTTTTCCCAAAACCGTCGCATAGATAAAATTTGTCCAAAAATCAAAGCGCAACATGGACAAAACACGATTTCCCTGAACAAATTTATTTTCAAGTCTAATAAATACAGCCTTCCTGCAGAGTTTTCAATAAAATATTGTTTGGAATGTGTATCTATATATTTGCCTTGTCGCGCGTCTACATTTTATATGCTTTTGAATTACTTTTTATGTGGTTAAAAAAAAAGACTAAATTACACAAAAACATTACACAGTACTTATAGCTAGATGGCAAAACTTTACAGGAACAATACAGGCACCATAACCACTACAGCACTCTGTAGTGTTGTAATGGTGCCAGGAGTACCCTTGTACCCTCCCATAGTAAGTAGTCAAACTATGTAATACGTTAAGAACTTATCTGGTTCCACCTGGACGCATACCACTGTCTCCTCTGCTGCGGCTCAGACATTCCGGTTAACTCCACTCAGCATATGCTGAGTGCTCTCTCCTTAGCTCAGTGGCAGGACCTTTCAACCACAGAGGAGACAGAGGTGTCTTTTGTTGGGACCCCTGTAAGTTGACAAACTATTTTTAAACCAAGGCCAAATTTCCCATTAGATAAAGGTACCTGCCTATAGGTGCCTGTCCTGTAGGGGGCGCCTGCTCTGACGGTTAATATCCCACTCCCTACCTCCTGTCCTGTGTCTGCTGACTCCAGGACTCGTTGGCCACTGTATTCAGAGCAAACAATTAGGAAAACTTTATTGGTATTTATCCCTATGGCAGACACAGTCTATTTCAGTACGTTCGAAGGCTTGTCATAATTAATAGACTAAGCACTCAAAATGAATAGGGGCAAGTGGTGATCCCATTCCCTACCTCTTCATTTTCCTTTTTTTGTTTCATTTTCAGTTGATTATTAAAGGGATACTATAGGCAATGATCAGTAAGACTGCAGGGGTGGGATCTATACACCAAACCTGCATTAAGTAAAAGTTGTTGTGGTGCTTTCAATGTCCGTTTTATATCTTTGTTGACTATGCCCAGTATTGGGGAAATATTACTGCAACCCACACTTTTATACATACGCTAATAAACACACTGTTACCAACACATAGATACTGTCACACACACTATACACACACACTAAAAACAAACATATAAACACAAACTGACACACATACTTGGAAATGCATACAAACAGACATGCACTAAAACATTTACACACTTACACACTTACACACATTTACACACACATAAAACATGTATACACAATTTATTTTTAAGTACTTTTTTTTATTAGTTTCGTAGGGTGGATAATTCTGAGCCTAAATGTGCTATTGATGTACATCTGGTCCTGTCTTAAATGGTTTGACTACTTACTCTGAGAGAGCATCATGGCATTCCTCGCACCATAAACACTACATTTGAAGTAAACTGCAATGTTTCTTATGGCCCATCTCGGTGAATATGTGACCATAAAACTAACCTATTTTGGACATTCTGTTCCCGTTGTCTCTGAGAACTCCAGGTGTCTTTGTATATATACACACATTCCTTTGTCAACCTCATATACCTTAGCCCATTTCAGAAACATTAATCTTCTTTGTATCAGCTGCCCATTTCACATTTAACCATTCATCTCAAATCACTATGCACACTTCAGAACCCCAGATCTTCCTGATCACTGCAGGCCTCGTTACTTTTACCTATATTTTTTTCACAGTAGTAGTTTGGAAAATAGTGTAATGCAAACCGGACTGAGGGAAGTGATTCCTGTAATGATCTCTGTTCATTCAAATACATAATGGTGATACTTTATGTCCATTAGTATAAAAAAAACAAAGCAAAGGGATTTAGAGAGGTACTTTTGGATTAATAACAAAAGCTTGCATTTTGCCAGATGATTAGATTAGCAGCATCCTGGTGATGGATGTCCAGTATGTTATGTTGTGGGGTTTTTTGTTATGGCATTCCAATTTTTTTTAATTGAATTTTTATAAGAGTAGTACAGTGAAGCTGCGTAGGGAAGGGATGAAGAGAAGAAACTTGAGAACAAAAAGAAAAGCCAACAACATGATTTAAATAAAATGGTATGGTGTATAATATGTTGTTAAGGAAAATCTGTCTCCAAAATTCATTTTCATATTTTAGTTGTTTGAGGCAAATAATATAATTTTTGTAATATATTTTTCTTTTATTTTGCTATTTTAAGTTTGTTTTACAATCTTCCTCTAACAATGACCCCGTGTACCCTGTATGAGCTGCCATTTTCAGCGATCTTTGGTAGTAATCCGTCGTTATTCGACCCAAGATCATTCTCAATGACCTAGCTGCTGCTGGTTAACAGTACAACGGCGTCACTTGTCTTCACCATCTCTGCTAAGCACAGCCGAGAAGCTTCGACAACACTGATCAGCCATAAGTATAATTGTTATATTGTTATCTCAAATGGAATATCCCACCAAATAATTTACGACAAGAACACATTGTGGTTTTTTACCATATATTTAATAAAAAGTATCAAAACACAAAAACCTCAATATAGAAAAACAAAAAGGTTTTAAAGTACCTTAAATTCGATAATGTGGAAGTTGGCGGTGAACATACACTAAAACATGCAATTTCTCTCACATCTGTTATATCGTGAGCAGTTTAAAACTTTGTACCACAACGATAATTAAACCTGCAGATGTTACTTTTAGTGAAACAAAAATAAAATATATATATATAGTGCTAACATGATTATTACATACATGCCAGTAAACACTCGAGTATAACAAAAAGCCAAACAGAATTACATGACGCCTGCGCCACATGTAATATATTTGGATATATATTATATATAATATAAGCAGAAACATACAATAAGTCCAATGAAGGTAAGGAGTTTAATTTAATTTAATCACTTTTAGTGCTTCTGGACAAACATACTTATCCTTGCCAATTTATTCTTTATAACAGAATCAAGAACATTTAAGGAAATGTGTCATTTGAATGGTGCAGTAATCTATGTTTGCAGCTTGCACGTTCAAATTAAAATTAATTGGTTTTTTTTTACACTTATTTTTTTCTTAAATAAAAAACAAACAAAAAACGATTTAAAGATCTTATTTCAATTTTCCCTTTCATTAATGAATAGGCAAATATATTTAATGATATATTTAAATCTAACACTTGCAAATGTATTGATAGGTTCTGTTGTAGAATGTTAAAAACCAGAAACAATTTAATTTGATGTCTGGTTGTGGTTACTCGAATGGCTGATTAGGCTGAGGTATCAAATCTTAATACGTATTATAAAATTAAAAAAAATACATAAAATACATAAGTCAATCTGCGAAATGTCCCGATGTAGAAATGATTTCAAATTGTAAATTGGATTTTATTTAACTTTTTTTTTTCAAAACTGAAAATGTTGGTATGAATCCTACACACCATACTGCGATGTGTGAAATGTCATAAGTAAAATCTCTGAAGGCCGTTTTACATCTGAATGTTGATAATTTCTTTAAGAAAATAGGGTGAAATGTGGCACTTGCTTTCTAATCATTTGAGGGGCAGGATTCTACAAACAGAGAAAACAAATCAACTCTGTCAATCAAATTCCCATGTCGAAGACAAAGGGAAAACTTTATTAATTACTACTGATAAACTTTCTCTGGTCATAGAATATAGTCATTGAAATAATTTTTGGGAAGTTCATGTTGCCAGGTGACAGCACATAAACCAAAATAACTGTAAAAATATAAAAACAGCCTGGGGCTTCGCATTCGCCCTGCTAGCTACCATTTTATTCTGTTGATTCACAAACACCTGATAAAGTCATTAGAAATGTTTCTTTAAGACTGCTTCATATTTGGCAAAACACTGACATAACTGCATAATGTTAAACAAGCACAAATGTAGGTTTTATAGGGCAATCATAATAAATAAGAATAAAATAAGCTTTTTTTATTTTCTACTTCCGCAGTAATTAGTGTCTGCATGACCTAGGATAAAAAGCCAGGCCGGCCTTCAGGTAAGAAGCCCTGGCATGGAAATGAATGAGTATAATAATCAATTAGTTCAAATTAAATTGATTTGGCAATCATACACAGCCTGTCAGCATCGTTAATAATACCATCTTTTTACCATTACTTCGGACATATTCGAACAACAGTGTGTATACATATACACTACCATCAGCATAAAGAGCTATCCATTCGCTGTCTAAAACTGTTGTTGTTGGTGGTTTGTTTTTTGGGAATAATTCGTATACCCACAATGACACAGCAAAATGTCACCGTGGAATCACCACTGGTAACTGTGGTATAAAAAATTCCGATTTAAACAAACTGGTGGACACAATGTGTCTATCAGTTTTTTTCTCTTCCCCTTAGAGACATTATAACAACAACTCGAGATAGCTCAGGTTACTTCCTGAAAAACTGCTATGAGTTTCAATATCTTTTTAAACACTTTTGATGATAATAATAGAGCTTTCAAAGGTGGCAATAACTGACACCTGTGCAATTATATCATAAAACACTGAAAATGTATTCATGTGTGCTTCTGCCTTCCAGCAACAAAATGTAAAAAAAAAATTGCACAGATAAAAAATAAAATAAAAATAAACCACAAATCATATAGCGCTGCTATAGAGATGAAACTTGTCAGTGGATTTTTGTTAAAACCCTAAAAATACACAGTATATACTGTTTAGTTATGGCTTCCAATAACACCAGTTGCAAAAAAAAAAAAAAAAGGTAAAAAATGGTGAACACCCAGCATTCAACCAAAAGTCCATCCTTTCGCGGTTTCGGATCCAGTCCTATGACGTGGCTTGTGCACTTCATTTTTCACGTAGCTTTCTCAATCCTCGAAGCGTTCGGTAGCAACAAGGTCTCTCCAGAGCACGTCAAGTCCATTTGGCCCCAGAATGTTTTAAGAATTCTACTTGCTATACAACAGTGAGATTGTACATTGTCTCTCTTGATAGCTTAGCTCTGGAGGGTTCCATCTTTGATCTGCTGAATGAAGAGGTTTCGCTCATCTTCCGGTGTTCTGCCATTTTGAGCTCGGACGATGCAGGTAGGCCGATGGAGGTTGAGCATATATATTAAATGTTGCTTCTCGTTCTTTAGCTCTTCGATCTGGGCTTTCAGATCTGCATTGATAGATTCCAACTTCTCAGATTCCTTAAGAAAGAAAAAAAAATTATAAAAAAACTCTTTACAATCTATAAGAACACAACAACCCATCACTTCAATAGTTTATGTTTTTCTTTTTCAACCATCTCTAAATTGCAGAATATATTACCAGTAAAGCATTTGAAAATGAAGCAACAAAATCAAGGTATTCAAACAGCTTAAATTGTAATTATAACATCACTAAATATTTTGAATACAGGTTATGGTGCAATTCAATATATTGTGGTCAGACAAATTTCAATTCTACTATGCTACCAAGAGATGGCGCTGTATGCACATGTCTACTTTCCAACTATTATTACGAAAGAAATTGAAAGAATGGCTTGGCATAGGCATACCTCCCAATAGTTCCACAGTTACCCTATAGTCTCACCATTGTGAGCACGTCATAGAAATAGTGAAACACAACTATACTTGATCGATCATGTTTTTCTCCACCCAAAAAATCCCTAAATAATTTGTATTTTTATTTATTTTTTTTTTAAAGAATCCATTTTCATTAGTAAAATAACAGCAAATCTAATATCATATTTAAATTTTCCACAGGACTGGTTGACTAGCAACAATTCCACTAACACATCCCCATCATGCGTCTTAACCTCCTTTTCACCACTGAAGATTCTTTGCTCCTTATTTGGGGAAGAACGTTTAAATCTTAAAATAAATGTGTTGTAAATAATGTGGTCTGTTTATTGTATAGAACCAAATAGAGTGATACAAGCCTCAGTTATTGACAATGGAGGAAAACAGACTGTATACATTAACTGGTTATTCCTCATTGATACAGCCTGATTACATAACGCACTGGCTCGTACTGCGTGTGTCTATGCAGCTGTGTGTCAATGTTTAGGAGGCCACGCATCCCAGCATCCAAAGCCACCAATTCTAACATTGGAGACATGTAATCCACAAAATGCAGACAGTCTGAGTATTAAAACAATGTGAGAACTGGTTTAGTTATTTAACAGGAAACCTGCACCAAACACTAACTATTTATACATATGGAGAAACCCGAAAGAACACTGTATGATAACACCATGGTTAGCGCACTCTTCCTGGCTCTGGTGCTGTAGATAATGTCCAATTCGATATTCCTGGAATGTAATACAGTGGAGATGTATTATCATGCTTACCTTTTGCAAACTTTCTGTTCTTTCTTTCTTCTTATTTCGACACTTAGCGGCTGCTACTTTGTTCCGTTCTCTCCTCCTCTTTTTTCGATCATCTTCTTCGGGGACAAACTGCAATGGACAGAACGCGGTCATTAATGATCAATAATCACTTCCAGAAATACCATGAAGTATTGGGTGCTCAACTTGCATAATATAACCACGACACAGGAGCTATTATCTAAACTAGCAGTGTGATAGCTACAGGCCAGGATCTCACTCCTCGGGTGTTTAACAATTTTTACACCTGTTTAAATGGAATGATTGTATTTCTGAAATGTTGATCAAATGATATTTCAGTATGTGTCTGGCCGTCTACCAGTAAATGTGTTAATGTTCACTCATGCTTGTATTGTAACTCAGTCCTATCGTTTATATGCCTATGGATTGACTTCCTGGTTGATGTCTTTATATGGGTTCTGAAGATCCAACAATATGGCACAGGTGCCAAAATGGAAAAAAAAATACTGTTTAACTCCCCTGAGGTATGACAGTATTATCACACAAGCCTGGCAAGTTGGTGGGTTCTTAGGACAACGCTGACGAATGCCTACATTACCCCCAAGGAGACTCTAAACAGGCCTTTAATAGGTTGTCAGGGGTAATCCTTTCACATTTTAACCTATACAGACAGGTAATTGATTTTTCCATTTAATCTATCTCCTCCGCTAGTTTATTATTCCACAGCTGAACAACTACCCATATAATATTCATCTACAGCGAACACATTTCCACTTTCGTATGGGGTTATTCATTTTTCTGAAATAAATTTCCCGTTCATCTGAGTTTAGAGCTCATTTCTTTTTCTTCTGTGTTTACACAGGCACAAAAGAAAATAGTTACTGTAAAGGTGCGTGCAATGTCCCTGAGCTGATATGAATATTATCCTCGTATGACATCATTCACAGGGTGTCAGCTGTCATTGACTTGAACTTTGGCTTCCTGCAATGTAATCATTCTTGGCAGGTGACAGCTCTTTTTGTAAACCAGGCCCGTGACATTGCACTCAGCATCTCAGCACACAGAGCACAGTAATTCTGCAAACGCTGATTCTGTGCACTTTTGTTACACGAAAGGGACATGAAAGTTTTGAAACAAATAACAAGTTTGTCTGCCCTTTCATTTTTATTTTGTCTCTTGTTTTTTTTTGTTTTTTTTTTAAATATAGTATTAACTATTTGAGCTGGTGTATTTAACAGGACCCATATAATTTCTACTGTGTGCTGTGCAATACCTCCATTCTTCCTAGCAGTATCAGGAAGTAATATACACGCAGTGTGAATTAATCAGTAAACACGGCTGGAAAGCTAATGTTATCAGCATGATCAATTAACGGATTCCACATTGGGTGCAAATGATTTCCATTTACTGCCGGACAGCACCTTCATTCTCTTCCTTGGAGACAGTGAAACGTATCTCTGATCCACAGAAACACAATACGGTTTATTCACCGAAATGAGAGTTCAAACTAAACATTATATTTAAGGTAAAAGTAGCCATTTTCCACTTTTTTGGCCTTAAATATAAAATTAACATAGATTTCAAAATGAATTCTTACATTAATGAATAACTCTGAGTGATCCGACATCCCCACTCCAATAGGTGCGGAACCCCAAATCCTGCGATGGGATGTTGGTGCACAAGTGAAATTATTACAATGTGTACACATGGAGCTGCACATATACTTCTTCCCATCTTCCCTAAACCATTGTATAGGGTTCCGCATGCACAGAGCAATCAGACAGTATTCTAAATTGCTCTTGTCCAAAGCACATTATATAATGCGCTCATTTATATGCATTTGACCCAAGGAAACCCACAACAGTGGTGCCATATTCAAAGCATTGGTGGAGACCTCAGGATACCTGACATCAACGCAATCCTAAACTCTATGGACATTGTTGCAGTAATTCATACACAAGGGAGTATTAAAGAAAATATTAAATCATGAGTGAGAGGGACTGCATGCGTGGGATTGTGTCGTATATGCGTATTTGCATTTATTATTATAATTATTATTATTGGTTATTATTTATATAGCGCCAGCTTAATCTGCAGCACTTTACAAAAAGATTTATGAAACATACCTCAGATTTATGGATAGGCATTTCTTTGGGTCCTTCTGCTACGATGACCGTGTCCAGGGTACATGGCGCTCTGCTAGAAAAACGTTTATTCTGGATGGCAAACCGTAATTCTTCTTTTACCAGAGGTGTTAAGTTGGTGAAGTCTTCGAAAGCAAAAGACATGGTTGGGGACAAACATGGGACAATAGCGGTTGCGCTGACTTCGGCAGCAGAACCTTGTCCGGGGTGCTGGAGCATCATTTTCTGAAACAAAACAAGAGCAATTTATGTTATCAATAGCAATAGCAATATATATATATATATATTTTTTTTTTTTAAATTACAACCACAGCTTTCAATAATCATTTGTGAATAAATGGTCAGTTTTTTTATAAACTGAACTTACGGTGCTACTGTTTCTTTAACCCCTTAAGGACCAAACTTCTGGAATAAAAGGGAATCATGACATGTTACACATGTCATGTGTCCTTAAGGGGTTAAGGAAAAGCCTTTACTATAAAGTAATTTTAACTCAGGCAGTTTACATAAACACAGAGCTGCGTTTTTCTTGGTAGTTACATTACAAAGTACAAAGTTAACTAGCTATATAAATAGCACTTTCTAGCTTATAATTACACAAGCTGACAACTTTATTTTTAGTGGAGGCTAACCAATTAACAGCTCAGTTTCCTTATAGATTGGCCACTGCTGAATACTAAGCTTTTCTTCCTTAGAAAAAAAGATTTTGCGATCTTCTCAACCATAGGAAAGAGGGATAGGGGGGTTAATTAGACTTTAATATAAATTTTGACAGCCATTTCTTTTTATACAGAACAAATATTAAGAAAGCTAACCGATAGTCAATTAAACATGTTAAAAAAAAAAATTGTATTTCCAAGTGCTTGATTTAAAAATGAATGTTTGAAGAAGAATAATGCAATAATTTATAAAAAACCAAGGCTGGCACAGGATTGTGTGATATGAAGTTCAAAGTCTGACCAAATTCTGTCCCTCTCTGATGTATTATGTAAATTATTCTGTGTAAAAAAAACATTAAGATTTTTGCTGGTCCTGATAATAATGCCCTTGCAATATTTTGTGCATCTCAGTCTGTCCTACTCTGTTTGGAAAGCACTGACCTAGTTTTGCGTTATTCTGTATAAATATTTAAATGTTCCCTGTTGGTGTAAGGAAAATCCTTGAACCCCTTTGACTTCATTGTGTACACGCATTTATTTTCTCTTGAATAATTGTAGATATGCAGTTACAGGACCAATGATCATACTGCTTATGCAAGAATGCAACTGGATCGAGAAATAAGTCATTAAAATTAGAGTTATAAGCAGGAATGACCCACCATATACAACATGACATTGTAAATGGAGAGTTTTAAAGTAATTTAAGTTTAACAGGAAATAAAAAACAATGTGATGACTACTGTGTGGAATGTTTGCAACATGCAAGGACACACCGTAAATGGCACATACCTAGTGTACCATAACTAGGACAAAAGGTAGGTCCCTGGTAAAAGTCCAAGTCACATTTTATTTTACCAACCACATGCTGGGGATCTACTGCCTGGTCATCCCCATGTTCTTTGTTACTGGCCAGTTTGACAAACATTAAAGTTTATATCATAAATATATACATTACTATTACAGTATTTAATGAGTGCAAGAGCAGATATGCAAAATATTCTAAAAACAGCCTTGGTTCCCCTTTGACACTGTGCCCTCCAAGAGATATGTCAGCAAATCTTGTAGAAAATAACACATTTTTCACATTCTGTTGTCTTGCAACTGAAGTGAGACTAATGATCTGAAACTCCGTGTTCGCTTGCTGTTGCCTGACAAAAACAAGTTTTTTCCCTCTTATGATTTAAATGTTCTCTCTTGCAGACAGGTAAAGGATTGTTGAGAATAAAAACATGACAGACATGTTTGTAGATATCACGCACAATTGTTTAGGTGAAACATATATATGATAAGATCCAAGATCATCATCGCCTGTGTATCCAAAAATCCTTGCACCGGCCATGGACTCCAGGATGACCTAGAGCGGGTCAGTAAGTTCATGCTGACTTACTGACCTGAATCCTCTGATCTAACGTAGCCTATGCCCTGCTATTGCTAAATTCTGAGCACTCTACTGCTCCTTACACTGATGAAACGAGGAAGTAGGTATCAATTTTACAGGAAAATAGCCTACAATATTGAGGTGACATCACATAACCTTTATTGTGCAACATTTATGCAACAATGTTACAGCTTATTAATGAAAAAATAAAGGATTGATCTAATTATTGCTTTCTTTATTCTTAACAAGCTAATTTAATATATTGTAAAAATGACAATATCACCGCTGTGGTATTATATTTCCCAGTAGGAGAGTAGAACAAAACAGCAGCTCTACAATAAAATTAAAAACATAATAAATACTGCATACTCAATCAATGGTTGGAGTTTTTACAGAATTCCTTTAAAACTATGCACAAAAAGAGACTGATAAATATATCTGCCGCTGAGACTTTAAATATTTTCGTAGTTGCTGAAGTAATTTTGGTTAAAAAAGCAATAACATTCAATATTAAAATGAAGGCTAAATGCAGATCAATCCAATATTTTAATTTGATGGGGGTGCAGGGGGTGAATTTTATGATTGATAACAATGCCTTCATAGAAAAACAAAAATTTAATTTAAAGAAAAATCTATAACTCCATTATAAAATAAAAGAGAGAGTTGAATTTTCCAATCCACGCAGAATGGATAAAAGGCACACACATACACTTGTTTGAGGTTTGCCATTATTGCATGGAATAAAGTTGGGTTACCTTTTCCTAAGCATCGTGAAAATGTTCACTTATTACTGCTATAAAAGTATATTTGAACTTATCTCAAAGTTCAATAAACCCTCACACTTGAAATCGTTTATGTAGAAATGTAACACCCACTTCCAAGCTATAAGTATTGCAGCTTCTCTATACGTTTAGGCAGAAAACCACAACAATGGTGATAAAACAGGGAAGTTAAACATACAATAAAGTTATTATATGACACAGGGAAGGAGGGACCATCTATTTTCTGGGAGTTTCCACAAAAAAAGAAAAACAGACTATTTTCCAAGGATTTGCTGCATTCTGGGAGAATAAAAAAATAAAACGAGGATAATTACGCATCGCACGTCTGTAATGGTGCATGCCTGCATGATTATTATTTAATTCAAATACAACAAAATAGGTGCTACTTTCTAAACATCCATCTACTTTCAGAGGTTTTTAAAAGTAAATACATTAAAAAAACAGGAAAACTAAGTATTACTGTGTCTTTAAATTAGTGATTTAGAACAATGCCCTCAAGTAACCCTGTAATCATACAGGTGGTTCAATGGACCCAACGAAAACATCCCTCGTTTGGCAATATTGGTGTTTTTTATAGCAAATGTACGTTCCATCAAGCATTGTATGGAACCCATCAGTAGAAAGGCAAATGCAAAGCCTGTTAAAGGGGCACTGTAGGCACCCAGACCACTTGAGCCAATTGAAGTGGTCTGGGTGCTGTGACCCTTTTGCACTTAGTGCTGCAATGTAAAACACTGCAGTTCCAGAGAAACCTCAATGTTTACATTGCAGCTCTAAGTCTGCCCTCTGTTGCTGTCTACCAGACTGGCACTGGGGGCGCTTCCGGAATCTAGACAGACTTTTGGTCCATTATCTGATGCTGGACGTTCTCACAGCCCTCCAGCGTCAGATTTTTCCCATAGGAAAGCATTAAATAATGCTTTCCTATGGGGAGGTCTAATGCGCGTGCGGCCATTGCTGCGCATTAGGTCTCCCCTTCCGGCTGACATCAGCAGGGGAGGAACATGGGCAGAGCCTGACCCAGCGCAGAGGGACATCGGCGCTGGATTCAGGTAAGTGGCTGAAGGGCTGAAGTGGCTGAAGGGGTTTTAATATGGGTTTGTTTTCCTGGAAGTATAGGATTCCTTTAACTATTTAACAACTGATATATGTTACAGAGCAAATTGATTTGTTATAGAGATCTTCCCAATGAACTGTTTAAGGGAATATTCTTTATCATAATTTAATTATAAAGGGACACATCTCATCAAAGTGGTCTGGGTGCAGTGTCCCTGTCTGCTGAACCCTGAAGTGTAAAACATTGCAGTTTCTGGGATATTGCAATGATTATAATGTCTTCCAGTCAGCCATTAGAGGCGCTTCCTGGTCCCTAACTAAGTTTTACACCATTAAACGATGTTGGACGTCCTCACGCATCACATACCCATAGGGAAGTGTTGATTCAGTAATTTCCTATAGGGAAGCTTTAATGTGCATGCGTAGAGCACCGTGCATGCGCATTAATTCCCACCATTGCCGTGACATGGCTGCACAATGACAATCCGTAACCTAGTAGTTTTGATTTGCCAGCAGACAATTCTAAAATGATTATACTCAAGGGGGAGTACAACATATATAACATGCAAAGAATATGTTACCAAGGAGCTTGTCCATGCTCTAGTAATTTCCCGCATGCATTATTGTAACCCTCTCCTATTTGGTCTTCCCAAAAGCCGTATTGCCCCGCTACAGTCTGTAATGAATGCTGCCGCCAGATTGATTTTCCACTCTAGTCGGTCCTCTCACACCTCACACCTCGGTCAGTCATTACATTGGCTTCCTGTATTCTATATGAGTCAATTCAAAGTGCTAACCCATACATATAAAGCACTGAACAATTCTAGCCTCTCTTGTATCTCTTCACAGATCCATAGGTATGCCCCTTCTCGGTCTCTCTGCTCTGCCCGTGACGTTCTCCTGTTCGCTGCTCGCACCCGTACGGCCAACTCACGCTTGCAGGACTTCTCGCAGGCGGCTCCTTTCCTATGGAATAGCCGGCCTACCCCCATCAGACTCTCCCCTAGTCTTCAATCATTTAAGAAGTGCCTTAAAACACATCTCTTTACGAAAGCTTATGGCCTCCCAGAGTAACCTCTACCTCACATACCTGTCTCTTGCTCTCTCCTAAAGGGCAGCACTCTCTCTCCTCCAGCTCTGCTTTACTCCCACCTTATTTGATTGATATTTCCTGTCCTAACGTGTTTTATATCCCACCTCCTATAGACTGTAAGCTCGTTTGATCAGGGCCCTTTTCACCCTATAGTTCCTGTAATTGTCCTATTTATAGTTAAATCCCCCCTCTTATAATACTGTAAGGCAATTTGGTAAAACAGTCAGCCCTAGAGCAAAATATTTATTATTTACAAGGAGACACTACTTGAGGCAGGGAGACTTCACCGAGAGCAGCAAGAAGAGTTCTTTATTATAAGAACAATAAAGAAATGAAATTCACTGGCTGCAAAAGTGATCAGCTGTCAGATTTAAGAGATGCCTGCAGCAAGATGGCAAATACTGTATGCTGGCCAATACATGTCAGTACTGAACATTATTAGAAGCTCATTCAGCTCTGACATGATTGTCATTGTGGGGTCAAGAATGAGTGTTTTCCCTCTATTGAAGGCAAAACTGGAAACTGTCTTTTTTTAAAGCACAACTGTTACCACCTGGGGCCAAATTTGCAAAGACCCCCAATAGAGGGAAATTCAAGGGTGACAATTACTTTCCTGAACCTGTCCCTCACCGGCATGGTTTTCTTGTTCCACTAGGTCCTCTTCAGGTCCAGAGACAAAGTAGGGACTATTTTGTCCCTGTATATTTCCTCCGTCTGACTCTTTTTTTTGACTCTGGGTGGAGCTACAGTGTCAGTGGAGGATCCCGTGGCCCCAATGCGCCAGGAGTCGACATTACTGCTGTACTCTCGCACATGCAGGACCCCCGGATCCTCCATAGACAGAACCAATTCCCTGCAGCCGTCACTGGTGATTGACACTGTAGCTCCACCCAGAGTCTAAAAAAAGTCGAATGGAGAAAACATACAGAGACAAAATAGTCATTACTCTGTCTCAGTATATCTCTTGACTGGGTTGGAATTTCAGTGAAATTCTCAACACAGCCAAAATGAGTATTTCATAACGATTCTATCTATCCGAAATACTAATTTTGCAGGAGGGGTTACAGAGCCACCTTAATAGTACTGCCTTCTTTTGGATCGTCAGCAACTATAAAGATGTGTGAAAAGGTCCACTTCATAAAAAAAATAAAAAATACAATTCTAACATACTTAAGAGAACAAACGTGTTACTCAGAAATCCGGATGTAAATGTACGTAACTATTCATGTCTAACTCAGTAAATATCTCACCGTTTACAAACACTACATTCTGCACTACTGAAATATTCACAAATTGGACGTCACACTGTATTCTGCTAACAAAACATATCAAAGACAAAGCAAAACACTGAATTACCCAGTTAAAAAGTGTATACATTACTTTGATCTAATTTTTTTTTAAGTATTATTATTCTTATCCAATAGTGCAATTACTTTATTTAAACCCAATAGCTCTGAACACACATCCGCACAAACATATATAAAATATCAATAGCTATTTAATCAAAAGGTCATGTGACCAGATTAATACCTTATGCAATATTTGTTTTTAACAATTTTGAAGTAGCAGAACAAGGGCGAAAAAGAGCACAAAATACTAATACAAAGTACTGTTTATATACCATGAGCCGAAGGGTAATCGCCTTAATCTGTGTTCATTTTTTTGTAGTTTTATTCTTCTAAATAACCCATATTTGCTATGTCCTGTAAAATGCTATCATCATGCTGTCTTTTGAATGAGTGTGTATTTTTGTAGTTAGTAAAATGTAGCGCCACCTGTAGGTGGCATTCTTAAATGACAACAGAAAGAGAGAACTGAAAGTATTACCCAGCAGTTTCATCATCCAGCCAGCTGAAACATTTCAGCAGGGACAGGCAGACAATGAGCTACTGCCAGTGTGTTATCAGATGGCCAGTCATACATTGCACACAGACACACAGGACATGCTGCTCACACACTCACAGCACACTCTGTCTGATTCTATCCACTCTGTCAGACAGCCTATAGAGGATCTACCTATTGATTATACAGGAGATCTAACAAATCTTCTCTCTGTTTATACACAAACATATGTATCAATAATAGATGATCACTCTATTATATATATATATAAAATAGTACTCAATGATATAGAAATTATATATTTATATAAAATTGTCCCAATCTTTTACGTGCTTCTAACCAGCTCTACGTGTACATGCAAAACGTTTCTATTAATAATAATTATTATTATATAGCGCCAGCATATTCCTCAGCGTTGTATATAAAACAAAAATTGAGGTGTTTCGTTCCTATATATAAACACACCCTCCGTGTAATAAACAAGGTTTACTGCAAGATTCCAAATCCTACTATTCCGACAAAGTGGTAACGAACTATTAAAAACGGGTCATAGAGGGTTAATTCTGCTTATCCATGCCTGTGTTAGGAAACTCAATGAAATCCATATTAAATAATCTCCTAAAGCTGGTCTGATTCAATAAGGCAGGACCGGTCTGATGACCAGGTAAAAAGTTGGGGTACAGACAGTATAGAGTGATGGAGGGAAGTACAAAGTTAGATTAAATAGCAACCATAAAATATAGCAGGTAGGTCACCCGCAGAGTTTAGCAGGTAGGTCACCCACAGAGTATAGCAGGTAGGTCACCCGCAGAGTATAGCAGGTAGGTCACCCACAGAGTATGTCAGGTATGTGACCCGCAGAGTATAGCAGGTAGGTTACCCCCAGAGTATAGCAGGTAGGTCACCCACAGAGTTTAGCAGGTAGGTCACCCACAGAGTTTAGCAGGTAGGTCACCCACAGAGTTTAGCAGGTAGGTCACCCACAGAGTTTAGCAGGTAGGTCACCCACAGAGTATAGGAGGGATGGTAACCACAAATAGTTCAATTCCCAGGAAGTAAACAATAAGAAAGTTTCTGTGCGGTAAAAGTATCACAGCCAGCTGGATACACAGATATAGAGCAGCGTGGAAGGGACAATGCTTCAACTGAGGTAAGTAGTAATGTGGTGAGTCACTCAACATGACTGCGCTGGACTTCACAGAGAAGAAAGCTAAGAAAGGGGTGTGGGGGGGAGAAACACTGTAACTCAGACAAACACAGTGCAACTAATAATCACAGTATAACTCTCACAAACAAAGTCACACACAATGTAACTCAGACAAACACAGTGCTACTAATAATCACAGTATAACTCTCACAAAGCCACACACACACACACAATGTAACTCAGACAAAAACAGTGTAACTCTTACAAAGTCACAAACGCAATGTAACTCTAACACACACACACACACACAGTAACTCTAGTCACAGTATAACTTTAACAAACACAGTCACAAACACAGTATAACTAACAAACACAATGCAACTATAACACACACAATGTAACTGTAACAAAGTCAGTATAACTTTAACAAACACAATGCAACTCTAACACACACACACACACACACTCTAACAATCACAGCATACTTCTAACAAACTCAATGTAACTCAAACGCGCACACACTGTAACTGTAACAATCACAGTAGACTTCTAACAAACAAAATGTAACTCTAACACACACACTGTAACTGTAACAATCACAGTATAACTCTAACAAACACAGTGTAACTCTAAAACAAAGAAAGCCAGCTCCACAAAGAGTTTATCAAACATCCCATAGCCCAGGAACCCCCTGAGAAAGTTGGGGAGCAGGAGCCCACCTACCTTGGTGAAGCTGGTGGTCTACTGTTTAGGAGATGATGAAGGCAGACAAAGCCAGAGGCAGGAGTCCAGCGTGTGATCAGAACCTCCTGTCTCTCTCTCCCCCCGGCACTCACTATACTACTGGCGGAGTTGCATCACCTCCTTATATAGCGGAGGGGGCAGTTCTGGAATGCTGACATCATTCTATTAATAGCAGGCAAGCTCTCCCTGCTGGTGATGCAAGCTAAGGACCATCATAGGAGGAGGAGGGTCCAGGGACAAGGAGGAAGAGGAGGGAGGAAAGGGAAGAGGAGGGGGGATAGGGAAACCTCTCTCCATAACTGGACTGGGCGAGGACTCACATTAACTCCTGCATGTCATCCAGATGAGCCAAGCTCCCTTAAGCCAGGCTAATGACTGCACACAGCTGGCATGTGACTGCTGAATGGGAGGAGCAGGGGGTTCTGGGAGGAGGTACCAGCATTATCTCCCTCCCCATGTATGTATAGGGAAGCAGATAAAGAGGGCGCCTTTGACATGTTTTGATGTTTATTTGCACTGTTACCCGGCAGCCGGCTGCTTGGAGAGAGCAATAACACAATACATGAGTTTTATGATTTTTTTTGTTTTGTTTTCTATTTTGTTTGGTTTTTTTCTAAATAAAAATCAAACTGGACTCTCCAGCATTCAGGGCGAGTAATATTATCAGCCCGGGCAGCATTTTACATGGTTTTTATAATCTCATGCTGCACATGTTACACGGTATAGTGACAGGTGTCGTTATTCACCAAACTGCGAATTGTAGCGAGTTAAAACCCGCCTGACAACATCTGGGCACAAACAGAATTCTACAACTGAGCTGCAGTCAGAGCTGGGATGTTTGTGCCTAAATCTTACAATTCGTGAATATGACCAGAACGCTCCAATACTGGAGATCCATTTCTTACACTTCAAACTGTCCCAAAATGAAATCTACAAACCGGAGTGAATTGAAAACTAAATGTCATTTAGGCTACAAATAACTGATTTGGGAAAATTGTCTGTCTGTCAAACTGTCTGTCTGTCTGTATATCACAGATACATTTGTGATATTTTACTCTGGTGAGTCATTTTCAAAAGTTATTTTGAAAAAAACAAACAAAACAAAGCATGATTCACTGTTAAATTGTAGTAGATGAACAGCTAGAGTAGAGCAGATATTTATTAAACTTATCTAACAGAAAAATAGACAGACAGATAGTTTAGACAGAGCCAAACAGGCAGACAGGCACATTGGACAGACAGAAAGTTGAGACAGACAGACAGTTTAGATAGACAGACAGATAGATAGTTTAGACAGGCATACAGACAGGTACCTTGGACAGACAGTTTAGACAGATAGATGGATAGATAGATAGATAGATAGTTTAGACAGACAGACAGGCACATTGGACAGACAGAAAGTTTAGACAGACAAATAGACAGACAGTTTAGATAGATAGTTTAGACAGACAGACAGATAGATAGATAGATAGATACATGAGAAAGGTTCATGCTGATATTATAATCTGAAAATGTAAAATTACTGAAAGTTTCCAGTGTGTGTCTAGAAAAAAACAGAACTCAATGTCCTTTTGTTTTGTTTTTTACATACTAAGCTAATGATTGTTTTCCCAAACAAGATTATTGAGTTATGCTTTCTCAAAAAAGAAACTGAATACAAACATTTTAAGGACTAAGAATTTTGTTTGGGGTGTGTTGTGCCTGGTAATGTATCCTAAGTGATGAAAGGATTTTGATAGAAAAGTCCTAAATAGTCCTCTGTGCCAGTTGTCTCCAGTTTATCATTCACTGGAAAGCAGGTGATTGTATTGAATGAAGATGGATGGGAACATCTCTAAATGCTGGTTACATAAAACTATACATGAGGCAAAGCCAAGGTCCACCTCTGCACTCACATTATTTGCCATAACACCTATTTAACCCCCGCAGCGCCGATGCCAAGTCACCATAACAAATTATTTGCCTAATCCTGGAACATGAGAGGTTAACAGAGCAAAAACAATCTTACAGTTCTATTCATATGATGCAAAAAAAAAAAAATGAATACAAACATCACAGGAAAAAAAGTGATTCCTGCAATCAGTGATGGGTTAAAAGGCCACATGTTCTAAATATAAAAAGACAAAAAAATAGCTCAAATAGTACAAAATACAAAAAAATATACACTGTAGAAACATTTCTTAAGATAAAGACAGATAATATTGTGCACATAGTGTCTTCTTGTCGCAGATCGACATTTAAATACATACCCTGGTCTGATACTTTATAGGATAAGTCTTTAAAATCCTTAATTGATTAACCTGATTATTTTAAAAATGTTAAGAATTACGTTTATTTTTTTTGTTCTTAGTTATATCTGCTCTCCCGGTTGGTCGCTGTCAAAATGAGCCTGTATTATCCATTTATATATGGCATTAGCGTTGTAGAATTTATTGGCGCTATGTAAACAGATGGTAATAATATATGTTCTTGAAAAAGCGCAAAAGGAATACAATTTAGATATAAAGACAGAACAGGAGGAGATATGCCTAAAGCTCGCACTCGTGTGTACTGTTTCTTTAAAATGCTAATACAAGTACACTTAATCACCTTTAAAGATTTTTCACTGTTCTTTGAAGTGATATTTTGCACCGTTCACGAACGATAAACTCACGTGAAATAAAAAACAAATGGTTGCCACTGAAGTCATAGCAATCTCTTTATTTAGTCTGCGGTCCTACACGTCCGTTGAGACAGTAACCTTAGTCTGCTTATTGCCTTAATACAATTAAAACGGAAGCTTAGTGTCCCGACTGTAAAAATATCACTAATGTGCATAACGTTCCTTTGCGATTTAATAGCAAAAATATAGCAACCGGCTTAACCTCACAGAGCACAACATTGAACAGTTGAAATCAATACTTTAAACAAAGACTGCTTTTTCTTGAGCTATAAAACATATACTTTTAGAACTGCTTTTTTTTTTTTTAACTGTATTTTTTCCAATAATTTTTTAAAGCATAATATTTTTTTTCCATAGGTTGCTATATGATTGACTTCATAACGAGCAGTAATGACCATTATTGCATACTATATCAACAATTATAATCCCCGGTGTAACAGTACAGATGTCAGTAAGCTCTTTTTCAAACATCACTCTTCATATAAATTGTCTGTACTAAGTTGTCTAAAGGAAGTAGACAATAAAATAAATATTGCAAGACACTTAAAATAGATATGATAACGAGCAAATATATACATATAAAGATTAGACAAATGTATCTTTATATCTTAAAAGGGACACGCTAAGTACCTAAACAACTTTAGTTTAATGAAGCAGTTTTGGTGTGTTAATCATGCCCTTGCAGTGTCTCTGCTCAATTCTCTGTCCTTTAGAAGTTAATACCTAATGATGTTAGAACATCATTAAAGATAGTGGGCTTTAATGCTGTTAGTAAATCCTGCTGCTTTTGAGTGAGCAGGGTGAAAGGAACACTTTTGTGTTAGGAATACAAAGATGTATTCCTAACAGTAGAGTGTCCCTCTTCCCTGCGTCACCCCATAGTCCGCCCCACCAGTTGTAAAAGGGTTAAAAACCCTGTTTGCACTTACCCGATTCCGGTATCGATATCCTTGGCGCTGGTTCAGGCTCCTCCTCTGCCAATGTCAGCCAACGAGGGGAGGAACATAGTGATAATGCGTGGTGAGCGCATTCGGGATTTCACATAGGAAAGCATTGCCTAATTGCTTTCCTGTGGGGTTTAAGAAGACTCTGGATGCCCTCATGCAAAGTGTGAAGATTTCCACCATTGTTTCCCGGAGTCAAACTCTGTGAAATTGCAGGAAGTGCCTCAAGAGGCTGTCTGGTATTGGCTGTCTTTCTTTAAAACTGCAATATTTTACATTGCAGGGCTTAGGTGGACAAAGGCACTGCACTCCACTTCAAAGATGTCCCTTTAATTCCCTGCTCATACCACAGAAGACCTCTGTCTTAGGGGGCCATATTGAGTGACCTCAGACTGGAAGATAAGCTGTATGCAGAGTTCACTTTGAGCACTGCATGCAGCCCTATAAATCCCTTTAAATCCCTATACCCGATATCAAAGTATTGACGCTGGTATTCTAAGCTTGCCCGCATCTGATGCAAGCATCTGCAGAGACCCAGATAAGGTCTCTCTGCATAACCTCCTGCCTGCAGTGATTGGTTCTGGGCTTTCCCAGTTTCCCAGCACCAATCACTGTGTGGTCAGTAGGGACAGCATGCAGGAGCTGCAGCATGAGAGGGAGATCTCTCTCTTATGCTCCAATCGCACCGTAGTTAAGGTTAGGGGTAAGTTAGGGTAGGTGCACGGTTAGAGTTGTGCAAGCAAATGGATAGGAGTGGGGTTGATTCAGGGATAGGGGTAGGGATGGTACATGGCTAGCATTAACTGGTAAAAAAAACTAATTTAGATCCTAGAGATATGAAGCATTTAGCAATCAAGTCTGACACATTCATCTATTTTGAGTCCTTTTTTTAGTTGCACTTGATGTGTAAAATGTAAACTGTTGTTTTTTTCCATTTTATTCATACTTAATAATGTAATATCGTACTAGGTATACATGTTGGGTATTAAAAGAAAGTAATTTCTGCTTTTTAAACAATATAATATAATATGTTTGGGGGCACTTAAAAAGAAACCCTTAAATTAAAGTTGAGCAAACACACAAGTTCTAGGTTTTGTATTTGTTCAGAACTTGGACAATTTCCTCTCTCCCTTTAAATTGCTGTTGTTTCTGTTTATGCAGCCTTAGCCACACCCCTGTTGTGACTCACACAGCCTTTATGATGAAATGGTTACATTTTCAATCAGATCTTACAGCACATGCTGTTTACTTTAGAAGTTCTAATCTCCTGCTGTGATAATTGAACTTTAATCACACATCAGAGGATGCTGCAGACTCTACCGAGTTGTTAACTGAGCGGGAGGTAAAATTTTTTACAAACACACACTGCAAAAGTTGAAACTTTTTTTTCAGGAAGTGTTCAGGATGGCTGTGAGTTTTAGCCAGAGGCTGCATAAACAAAGTGACTTACCTCCTAAATGGCAGATAATTAAGCGCTGAGACTGCAGAGACATGATCTATACACCAAAACCACTTAATTAAGCTAGAGTGTCACTTGAAAACTGTTGGGATAAATATGCAAATATTAGCAAATACATCCTTCTAACCAACAATGTAATGTAGGATCGAGCAATGCATTATGGATGCTCATCAAAGCAGGAAAAACCTTAGCTTATCCATGGTGGGTGTTGCCATCCATATTTAAATGCATTACATAGATAATGCAATAATAAAAAATAATAAAACACATTTCTAGGCACTGGTCCCATTGCAGCAAGCATGTCAAACTCAC